ACACACACACACACACACACACACACACACACACACACACACACACACACGAGGATTCCATGCAAAACAAGAGACGATCTGGATCTGGGTGTAAAATGGTTTCCTTGCTTGTCTTGGGGCCTCCTCCTATTTCCCAGGGAAGACAGGTTACGGCCTCCGTCTGCCAGGCTCCTGACACAACAATAAGCCCCGTCTGTTGCTCGTCCTGGGGTCACAGGCATGTTTTGGAGTCTGTTTCCCCAACAAGACTAATTGTTTCCTTCTCTGCCCTGGGTGACAATTTGGATTGGCTGGGTTCCTTTCCCCACTTTTGATTATCTGCAAAATCTCCCTGCAGAAAACAAAGGCTGCTGCATCCAGCCAACTGACCGTCCAGAGCCCAGTGACGTTTGCAGGTCCTCCTGGCCTCCACCTCCATGCCCTGGGAAGGAAGTGCCTTCAATAGCTGCGTGTGTCCAGCTCCTTCCCTAGAATTCCCTGCCCCTGCGAGGAATTCAGGTACTCCTCAGTTTACAACCGGTTGCTCAGCAACCATTCAAACTTGCAATGGATTCCCCAAAAGACATCCAGCTCCAGTGACGCTTGCAGCTTCCCCTGCCCTCCACCTCCCTGTCCTGGGAAGGGGGCGCCCTCAAACGTTGGGTCTGTCCAGTTCCTTCCCTACAATTCTCTGCCCCTGCAAGGAACACAGGTACAGCAAGTCCTCAACTTACAACAGTTTGCTTAGGGACCATTCAAAGTTTCAACGGCACTGAAAAAAAAAGAGCATTTTTCAGGCAACTGTTGTAGCATCCCCCATGGCCGTTGGATCAAAATCCAACGGCCTGGCCACTGACTCATATTTATGACAGTTGTAGCGTCCTGGGGCTCATCTGACCTCCTTTGGAGACCTTTCTGACAAGTCAGCGGGGAAGCCAAATTCACTTAACAACCGGGTTACCAATTGGAGAACCGCGGGGATTCGCTTAATAACAGCGGCTAGAAAAGCCATACAACAGGAACCGAAACTCGTGAACAAAATTTCTCACTTAGCAAACGTAAATGTTGGGCCTCCTTTGTGGTCTTAGCTGAGGATTCCCCCAACGACAATGAAGACAAAGCTCTCGTTTATCTCCCAGACCCCCAGGTTTTATTCGCCAAACATTTCCCACCCCATTCAACCCCCAATTCTTTGGAGACCAAGAGAAGGAAAAGAAGAAGTGGATCACAGCAGGTCAGAGAAGAAACAACATTGAGTCCCCAAGGAGCCATTTCTTGATTTAAGGCCATGTACGACATCCATTCACCACAGAGAGGAGGAAACCATTTTTTTAAAAAAAACCAAAAACAGACATCATCCAACTTGGGACATCTGAACGTCTGTCTTGCAGATCACAAATCCAAAACACACAACTGCCGTTTCTGAGCACTGCTCTGATTTCAGAGGAGAAAAAAAATAGTAACTCTGGATTTACTCGGGCGAGTGCAGAGGTGAGTGGCTATAAAAATGCATGCCTATTCCCTGTATGTCTATATCCAAGTAGTCCTTGACTTACAACAGTCTGGTTAGTGACCGTTCAAAGTTACAACGGCACTGGGGGGAAAAAATGACGTACGACCGGTGTTTACTCCGACAACCATGACGGCATCCCCGTGGTCCAAATTCAGATGTCTGGCAACTGGTTTGTATTTATGACCGTTGTGGTGTCCCAGGGGGATCCCATGATCCCCTTTTGCATCGTTCTGGTGAGCAAAGTCAATGGGAAAACCAGGCTCACTTAACGACCGTGGGACTAATTTAATTGCAGAGGTTCGTTTAACGACTACGTCAAGAATGAGTTTCATCACTTGGAAACCTGACAGTCATAACATGGGGGATGGGGGGGGTAGAATCACTTGACAACTGGACTCACTTAGCAACAGAAATTCTGGGCCCAGCTGTGGTCGTTAAGTCGAGGACTACCTGCAACAGAACGCCAGAAGTGAGCGTGTGCTGCTTGTGCGACTTCCTCAAAAGCGTCGTTTTTGGTGTGCCAACCTTTGCATTCCTTCCACTTCACCTCCGTTTTTCGCTCTCTGTTCTCTTGCTTTGCATGATCACCCTCCCTTGAGAAGAAAAAAAACAACAACCCTGAACTGGGTTCACCCTGATTTTGTTCCTTTCCTGGAGGAGAACGGGAAGTGCTGGTGTTGGAAAGGATCTGGATAAATTAAGTGTGTGCTTTTTTTTTTTTTTGTTTCCAGAAAAATCAAGCCTGAGAGAGAGGAGGGAAAAAGAAAAAAGAAAGCTGGCTAGAGCGAAAAGCAACATTTCCTTTGGAAAGCAAATTCTTTTACTTCCTCTGTAAACAAAACAAGGCTATAGGAAGCCAAAAGCTCGGCTCTTCTTGAGGAAAAGAATTCCGCTCGTCAAAATGTCTTTTGTGCAACGATTCTGGGCAGGGTCCTTGCGATTGGAAGGGAATGGAGTGGGGACCACCCCATCCCAAGCTTTGGTCATGACAGGGGAGCTACAAGTTTCCCTTTCGGTGCTCAAAGTTTAGCCTCGTGAAGACGGTGGAGAGCACAAGTCAATGGAGAGGACCTCCCATGGTCCACCACAAGGAGAAGACCTCCCTTTCCCAGAGGCAGAGAAGGAAACACAGTCACTGCTGCTCATCCCAGCTGAGGGCACGGTTAGCATTCAGGACCATCCTGAGCTCCAACATCTGGCGGGCTTACTAGAGGCTGTCGTAGCTCCTCAGCGTCTCTTCCAGCTTCTGGCTGACTCTCTGGTAGAAGACGATCTGCTCCCGGATGTAGGACTGCATCATCTTTTTGAAGTCCAAGATGCGCCTCTCGTGGAAGTGATTCATTTCGGCCTGCAGGGTAAAGCCAACCACTCGGCAACGCTTCCGGATCCCGTCTGCCTCCTCCTGGTCCATTTTCCCTTCGTCGCTCATCCGCTGGCTCTCCTTCACTTTGGCAAACGCACCTGTGGTCGGGGAGAGAAGCAAAAGGACAGTTCACCAAGGTTATAAAGCCCTCCGAAGATCGCACTGACCAACGTTGAGTTGGGCAAGTGAGAGGAAAGACTGTTCAAGCATGAAGAGAACTGTGTTAATGGAGGGATTTTGGAAGTCTTCTAGTCCAACCTCTTGCTCACACAGGAGACCCTATACCATTTCAGACAAACAACTGTCTAATCTCTTCTTAAAGATGGAACGATCACAATGTGATGACCCAAAGGGGCGTGGCACAAAGGCAACACAGTCACATAAGCAAGAAGAGTCCCTTTATTATCTCCAACTTTGCCCCCAATGTCCAGGTTACTGCACGTTTACTGCACGCTTCCTTTTTTATACACTGTGTTCCCAGCTGCAGCTAATGAAGGGAATCAGGGCCCTTTCCTCCCCCATAAGCCACGCAACTCACGTTGCTCCCTTCTCTGTTCCTCCCTGCGTGCCCTAGGATGAAGAGGGCCTGGGCCTGGGTGTTCCTCTGAATTCCCTCTCCCTTGTTCTCCCTCTCCCCTGTTCTGCCCAGCCGGACTGTGCCCTTCCCCAGTTTCTTCCACAGCCAATGGAGCCACACGCCCACTCCCTGTCAACTGTTTGGCTTTCTCCTCCGAGTCAGATTCCGACGGGGGCATGACACACAACTTCTGGAGGCAAATTGGACCACGGACTGGTTGTTCTAACATCAAGGAAGTCTACAAGTCTACAATGGCCAACAGTTAAAGAAAAGTTCTGCAAGCATCTCCTGAAGTTGCCTATTTGAGTCAAAGGCCCTGGATTTCCTGAGCTCATTTCAAAGGCAAGGAGTGAATTTTGGGTAATGAAGTGAGTCGTAGCTCACAGATTTGCTAAATGGAAAATGTGCAATGAAACTTCTGGTGTGTGGTCTCTGGGGAAGACTTGAGTTTAATTCATGAGCTGGAAGAGTATCTGTTTAGACTTCATCACCACCATCATGATCATCCACCTTATTTCATTCTATCACGCGGAGGAATTTGGGGGAAGCAGCTAAGTTGTCCTGCTCCCCCATTTCCCCATGTCTGCCTATGTAAAAATCTTGATTGTCTCAGGAGATTCTCACTCATCCAGGTCGTGGTTGTCCCAAAGGGGCTTTTCCAAAAGACAACTGGACTTTCTTGGGTTTTGTTTTTTCCACTCTTTTGCTTCTCATCCAAGGAATTTCTGAGATCCAAAGAAGCTTCTTGGGTCAGAAGCAAAACATTTCCAAGGAAAAAAAAACCCAAGCCCAGTTGTCTTTGAAAATCCTCTTTGGGATATTCGTGATTGTCTTTATTTTTTGGTAAAAGTTGACCGTCTCTGGTGAGTCAACCCAAGTTTGCCATTTGAGTCCCTGGGTGAGCCCATCCATGGTGTCACGTACAACATGCCAGCTACATCTCGACCCAGCCAATCGTGGTTTGTTCCCTGAACTACGGCTTCTCCTGAGCTGCAACTCTTGTCTTGCTGACGTTCTTGCAATCCGGGGGTTGGGCAACAAGGGGGCCTTCGTTGCTACCTTCCCCTGGCATGCCACAGGGCCTGCAAACATTTGCCCTCCCCCTGTGATTCAGACTTTGGGGAGAAAAGAATCCATCAGCCAGAGCCAATTTCACCTTGAATCCACAGGTGTGGCTTTGGCGTTGTGTATGAATCACCAGGGAGATAAACCACACCAGCCTGGCAACCTTGTCCCCAGTTCCCCTTATGGAATGCACGGCTCGGGGACAGAGAGCAAATCCTCTCACACCTGTCCAAATTTCAACTCCTTCTGCTGTCAGTTCATAGATTTTTAGAGTCTCGGGGAGCATCTGCTGCATGCACAAGCATTTTCAATAGTTTACAATAGTTTTTTAATGCCTGGGTAAGGCCACACTTGGAAGACTGCATCCAGTCTTGGTCGCCACGATGTAAAAAGGATGTGGAGACTCTAGAAAGGGCGCGGAGGAGAGCAACGAAAAGGATTAGGGGGCTGGAGGCTAAAACATATAAAGAACAGTTGCTGGAATTGGGTATTTCTAATCTGATGAAAAGAAGGACTAGGGGTGAGTTGATAGCAGGCTTCTGATATCTCAAGGGCTGCCCCGAAGAAAAGGGAGTCCTTTAATTCTCCAAAGCAGGGGTCACCAACCTTTTGGACCTCAGGGACCACCAAACTCATAATTTTAAATCCCACGGACCAGAGAACCCCAGGAAAATCCCCAAAAAAGTATGCAGGACAATTCCCCACCCCATTTTCCTACCAATTAATCATTCTTTATTTGGGATCGCAGGATACCATCTCCAGCTCTGTTCTCAGGGGGGGGAGAGAGAGAGAGAGAGAGAGAGAGAGAGAGAGAGAGAGAGAGAGAGGAGAGGGGGAGAGAAAACGTGTTGGCTTCATGCAAGGAAAGCAGCAGAAGCAGCAGAAGTTTTTCTTTCTCTTTGTGTTCCTGCGCAGCCTGGATTAATTGCTTTGGGGGTGACATTTCTCTGTGGACCACCAACATTTTCTCGCAGACCACCAGTGGTCCCCGGCCCACTGGTTGGCAACCACTGCTCCAAAGCACCCAAGGACAGGACAAGAAGCAACAGGTGGAAACTAATCAAAGACAGAAGCAACCTAGAACTGAGGAGAAATTTCCTCACAGTCAGAACAATTAACCAGTGGAACAACTTGCCTTCAGAGGTTGTGGGTGCTCCATCACTAGAGGTTTTTAAGAAGAGACTGGACAACAATTTGTCTGAAATGGTCTAGGGTTCCCTGCCTAGGTAGGGGTTGGACTAGAAGACCTCCAAGATCCCTTCCAGCTCTGTTATTCTATTCTATTCTATTCTATTCTATTCTATTCTATTCTATTCTATTCTATTCTATTCTATTCTGTTCTGTTCTGTTCTGTTCTGTTCTATTTTTCCTTCTTTTTTTCTTTTGCAGATAGTATTAAAACACAGGTAGTCCTTGACTTAACCACAGTTTGTTCAGTGACCAAAGTTACAACAGCACTGAAAAAAGGGACTTATTACCATTTTTGCACACTTATGATTGTTAGCATCCCCACGGTCAGATGATCCAAATCCAGGCTCTTGGCTAGTTTTTCGACTTTCGACCACAATCGGGAGCAGAAAATTCATTCATGCTGGCTGGGGAATTCTGGGAGTTGAAGTTCACACCCTTTAAAGTTCCCACCGTTGAGAAGCACAGGTCCAACAGAACGCGACCATCCAAATTCTCAGGGTGCGTGCTGTGTGGATGCTGTGAAGGAAGTGTGACTTGGGCACAGACATGAATGGTGCCTCTGTTAATATTAGTTTTCCGCTGATGTCCGGGACTTGAGCTAATGAGATAAGACACTTGTGTGGCATGGCACAGAAAAATGTGCAACTCTGCTCAGTGGCCCTTTGTATGTTTTGAACTGGGCAGCCTTTTAAATATTAAACCTGGCCACTGTTGTGGTTAGCCGGCAGCAGGTGTGGACGGCTGAGGAGAGCGAGGGTTCAGATGAAGGGCCAGGACCATTAGGGAGTGGACTGCTGCCTTCAGAGATTGTAGGGGCTGGCAGCAGCGATGAGGAGGTTCCTGAGGAGCCTGTGCCAAGTGCGCGTGCGCGCAGGGTTGCTCGCAGGAAAGAGCAGTTGCAACAGCATGGGCAACTCGGGAGTAAGGCTGCAAGGTGATGGCCCAGGGGTGGGCAAACTACGGCCCGCGGGCCACATCCGGCCCGTTGGTCTTTTTAATCCGGCCCGCCGAAGATTGGTACAGAATTAAGGTTTGATGTGAATGATTGAATGATTGCATTCATTTGATTTTGACTTGTAATGACAGGCATTTCGACACCAGGTGGCGGCCCGTCTGTCAAATTTTAAAAGTCAATGAGGCCCCCCGAGCCAAAAAGTTTGCCCACCCCTGTGATGGCCCCTCCTTCAAGCAGATAAAAGCCAGGTGTGAAATGAACGTTCTTTGCAGAAGGCAAAGACGTTTTGAAACTCCACCTCGTGGACATTCCAGTATCCTGAGTTCGTATTAGAAGATTTTTGTATTGCAAATTATTTCTTGTCTGTTATCTTCTGGGCCTCTCGCACAGTTTGGTAAGGCTTGTGCTTATCACAGCTAATTATTTTGCAGAAACATTAAAAGGTTTCTGTTCCCTTTGGATTGTGTTGGAAAAGGGTGTGGGTCAGAACAGCCACACAGCTAAGGTCAGGGCTGATGGATGCCTAGTACAGACATTAAACGAGGCACGCAGTGTAGTTAAGTGTGTTGCAAAAACCTTGGGCCTGATCTACCAAGTTGTAGGTCCCAATCCAATCCCCCAAAATCTAATGAGTGTAAGGGGAAAGGAAGCAAGTTGTTCTCCACCTAGTAGAAAAATAAGAGGAGGCGTTTTCAACTGAATTACCCGCTGATCTGCATAACTATTGCAGACACCTAAATGCGGAAGGAGCCTGAGTTATTTCTATGTTGCAGTGGAAATGTAATCCAGGTTAATTACAGTCCTATACAAAGGGAAGAAGCACAGCCTTTTAACACCTTTAAAAAAAACAACTCCTGAGTAATTCTGCAGAGATTAGGCTGGGATGTGGTGTTGGAAGAATCATCCTTCTGGGTTCAGTTCCAAGTGGGGAAAAAGACACTGGAAACATGGAGGCTGTTTGGAAAGATGGTTTAATGCTGGACAGGACCACGTGGCTTGGGAGCTCCAAAGAAGGAAGGGCCGAGATGCTGAAAGTGCCTGGGTTTTATATGCTCTGTTGGGATTTCAATTTGAGCTTGTATTCTGATCGGTTGTCAGACTCCCATGGGGCCAGGCAGGGGCAACTCTGTAGGCTGTCCTGAGTTCCAGGCTTGGAAAGGGCTTTGGACAATTCCTATAGCTCCACCTGGAGATCTTTGTTATGTAAAATAGGCTGGCCTAAGCCAGAGTAATGGCCCATTAGCAAAGGTGAGGGGTGGGGGCTGAGTTTCTGCTCCTGAGTTTCTACTCTTTTTAGGGGAAATATTCTG